GAAGGAAGGAAGGAAGGAAGGAAGGAAGGAAGGAAGGAAGGAAGGAAGGAAGGAAGGAAGAAGGAAGGAAGGAAGGAAGGAAGGAAGGAGAAAAAATAACACCAAAAGAGGCTAAGTTCTGTGGTCTAATCTTTGGAAATACCCTGTTACTCTAGACATCCAAAACACATGCCATTTGTAATACCAGACTGTCACCGTTTATTTCTCCTCCCCATCCCTAGTTGCGTTTTTGAGCTATGCCATAAGGTACATGGGCTGTGATGGTGCCGAATTTCTGTGCTGATTCGATGTGGAACATCTGGTCATCAAAGAAGATGTGGGGCCGAATCTTCACCAAGATAGGACCTTTGGGGGCTCCAGCTAGGAAAAGAGCTTCATCTATCTCTAGACCCCAGCGGCGAAGGGTCTTCAGCACACGGGCACCTGAACTTGCTGCACTCCGGGCTGTAACCAAGTAGGTCCTGATGGGACAAAGTAACCGTTCGTCTTTGGCATAGAATTTCTTCTGCAGTTTGCCTAAATCTTCCAGAAAGCTTTTAAGAGGACCCTGGAAAAAAGAACATATGTCTCAGCTGGGAATGGGTGAGCAAAAAGAAGTTATTACTGACAAAACAGGGTCTTATTTGACCTTACAAAGCACACAATGCTGTCATACAATGAATGATTCTGAGCTGACAGCATGGTGCCAAACTCTCTGCATTTATGTGAAGGTTTTTCCTGATATACAACCATCCCTTTGCATGCCTAGAATAAGTCTCGGATAACCACATCATTTATCATCCAAACGAAGATATTTTATGTGTGAAAAAAAATGTTCTATAAATAAGTCATTCATAACTATCTATGCTACCTGGGTGAGATGTACTTCAGCTGATCACCAAAACCACATTTCCCCCCATTTTTGTTAGCTGCATTTTTTACCTTTGAAATTACTGTCACTTTGTTTAGCTAGGTATTTGTTTGGCCTGAGTCCAGCCCTGACTTCAAGGTATGTATCTTTATATCTTTATAGTTTCTACATTAAGACATAATGTAAGCTTCTTTTTCTACATTACTCTAGTCTCTACCATTGTTTTACATTTAAATCCATGAGTAAACATATTTTATGTTTGTGGAAATAATCTTTGAGAATTTAGTATATTATCAACCATTCTGCTTGCTGTCCTCTCTTTACCTGAGTAAGGTTTTTACCTGGATATAGATTCTGTGATTTATATTTTCTCTGCATAAGATGGAACTTGGGTCATTGGGCTTGGTGGCAAGCACCCTTATACTCTAAGACACCTCACTGGCTCATTTTACAAGTGTGTGTGTGTGTGTGTGTGTGTGTGTGTGTGTGTGTGTGTACACATATCTATAGTTCACTTATGGAAGTCAGAAGACAACTTGCCAGATTTGCTTTTTTTCCATCATGTGGGTCTGAGGCATTGAATTCAGGTCTTCAGACTTGCAAACAGGCATCATTACCAGATGAGCCATCTTGCCGGTTATATGCTGTTTACCTTTGGAATCTGTCTAAGATTTGGGAAGTTATATAAACTATGTCTCCTTTCCTAATAATAAATACCTGGATATTTGGAACAACCATAACTGTTCTTCTGCATCTCATGCAGCTAAACCAGAGGCTGGCCAAGTAGGCTGGAGTCAAGGAGAAATGGGCATCTTCCCGGGAAAGATGGTGTGCAAGACCTCACGTATCTCCAGAGAAATGAAGAGGGAAATACCAGACACTGGACAAGTAAGTGTGAACATTTCAGAGCATTTAAAACAATGATAAAGGACAACCCTGTGCTCTGCTAACCGAGCAGTGCTCTCTTGAGTTTATCTCTGTGGACTTCACTCCATGTTCATGAGAAACACCACAGGCAGGGAAGAGGATGGAAAAAGACATAACAGTTGGAACAAGAGTTGGGGAGCCCTGCATTTGGGAAAAGTGTGAATCTTTGCTGAGCCCTTTGGACCTGGAGGGAAGAGGGCTTAAGCTGATAGAAGGGCTTTAGGAAGGCACTCTTCAGGCACATGTAAAGATCCACTCTCGGGTTGGGGATTTAGCTCAGTGGTAGAGCGCTTGCCTAGCAAGTGCAAGGCCCTGGGTTCGGTCCTCAGCTCAAACAAACAAACAAACAGAAAGATCCACTCTCACTGGAGAAACGAAAAGCTGTCTGCTCTGAGAGCTGGCATAAGAAGACATCTGAACCCAGACTACTAGCCATCTCCTGTCACTGGGATTTGGGAAAAGTAGCACCATCTTCAAATTACAGGGGCCCAAAGCTGGCAGAGAGGGGAAGAATCACAGACAGGTGAGTTTGGAGATTTTTCTGCACAGACTTTCAGAGAAGGCCTGAAGGTTAGAGCTTAGAAAGGCCCATGGGCAAACCAATCTACAATCTCCAATCTTAGAACCAATGAGAAGAATTTGAAGTCCCTGACAGTCTGAAGAAAGCCACAGCAATAACAATAACTAAAACTGGTTCAACCCTTGATTACCTTGATCCAGTCTGTCACAGTAGTTAGTGGAAGAGGAGGAGTGCCAATTAGCAGATTGATACAGCATTTAGCAAAGCCTCCATGTATAGCTAGTGCAATTGATCATTATATATATGCATATATATGTGGGAACATAATAAAACAGGGAAATCTAAACATAATAAAACAGGGGAATTTAAAGAACTTAGACCTCATGATAACACAAATATTAAATATATAATAGAAAAATTGAAAAAAAAACTTTTATTAATCCCTTCAAAAGTCAAATGTCTACTTTAACGGTAGAAAACAAACATAAATAGTAACTTCGGTAAAGAGGAATTGAATACAATGCTAGAATTAAAAATTACTGTACAGAAATGAAGCATGCCTTCAGTTGATGACCAGCAGACTCTCTATGGCTAAGAAAAGAGGGATGAACTTGAGGATAAGTAAAAATAGACTTAAATATAGAGATTAAAAAAGAGAAACACATTGAAATGCTATGAAACACACAAACACACACAGAGGGCTGGGATAGGAAAAAAGGTACAATTGCATGCACATACATACATACATACATACACACACACACACACACACACACATACACATGCGTGCGCATGCACTCACACATACACTCACATACAGGAGGGTGGGTGGAAGAGGAAGAGATGCACAAATGCATGCCCAGACAAACAGACAGAGAAAGAGAGAGACAGAGGCATATGCCACACAGACATACACACACATACATGCACACTATACATACACACACATGTAAGCTCATACATACACCCACATACGGGGGCTTGGGGGCAGGAGGAGGAAGAGCAATACAACTGCTCCAACAAAAAGAAACAGAAAACCTTGATGAGTTAGTGAAAATAGATATAGTATATACAGAGGATCATAGTAGATAAAAGACTCAAAGCATTTGAGGTCAGAACCTATGCAGTGGAAATGTGTAAGAAAACCATAGATGGCATCTTGAAGTTGCTAAAGAAAAATAAAGGAAACACATGGTTCTATAACCAGTGGGCAAATAAAATATATTTTCATTTTATTTTGTTGAGACATGGTCTCTCTCTGTAGATTGCCATCTTGGAACTCACTATGTAGACCTGGCATCCCTCAGAACTCACAGAGATCTCTGCCTCCCCATTTATGGGATTAAGGGTGCATGCTTCTGTGCTTGACTATAGTGTAATTATAAAGTGAGGAGGAAACAGAATTTCCAGGAAAAGCAAACAGTATTTATTGCTAGCATGTATATCCTACTGACATGCTAAAAGAGAACCTGTAATTTTAAAAAGGAACATAAACATAAAAGATTTTTTTTTTTTTTTGGTTTTTCGAGACAGGGTTTCTCTATGTAGCTTTGCGCCTTTCCTGGAACTCATTTGGTAGCCCAAGCTGTCCTTGAACTCACAGAGATCCACCTGGCTCTGCCTCCCAAGTGCTGGGATTAAAGGCGTGTACCACCACTGCCCGGCAAAAGATCATTTTTGTCTCATTCTTATGCTATGGGCCACAGGAAAACATTATAGAATTCAGCTGGTTATGGCAAAGCCATTACCTGAAGGGATCAAGGAATTCCTCCAGAGGAAGCCAAATTCCAAGGAGCTTTTGGTGTTATTTAGCTTGTTATATATTAGCTGTCTTCTGTTATGAAAATCATGTGTGCCTTCATAGTTTTTCCAATTGATTTTTCCCTAAGAAGTGCTATCAGTGTGGACTGATCACTCTCTGGACATATACATTCAAGGTATTTGGAGAACAGCCTCAGGAAAGGCTTCCTTCCCCCCAGCCCACCCATTTCTCCCCTTTCAACACTGGAATCAGCCACTTTCAAGGACTAACAAATAACAGTCCAGACCACCACATGCTAGTCTCCTGATTCAAGGTAAATCCCACAAGGAGACACCACCTAGGTCAG